AGGCGGCGACTCGCCATCTTCCCGGCGGGAGCAGCTGCCGCGGGCGCCGAGAGCGGCTCTAATGAGCGCGGAGCGAGGCCCGGCGGGGGCGGCCCGGGGCCCGCGGCGGCAGCGGCGGCGGCCCCGCCCCGCCGCGGAGCCGTTAGCGGTGCGGGGCCGTTAGCGGTGCGGAGCCGTTAGCGGTGCGCGGCCGTTAGCGGTGCGCGCGCCGCGGGAAACTTCGAGGGCGGTGGCGGGCGGGTTTGCTCGCTTAAAGCGGAGAGGCGCGGGGCGGGCGGCGTGACCGCACGGTGCGAAGCGGGTAGAGCTGGGCAGGGTAAGGAATGGCCGTGCTGAATCTGATCCAGGCGGTAACTCACGGGATGACTAGGAAAGCCCCTGTAATGAGAGCGAACAGACCGGCAGGATAGAGAGATTCATCCTAAAGAGCAGGCAGCCCGGCCCGTTAGGCACGGGGATGACRTTTAACTACAGCGCTCTGCCCATCGCGGTAGATACTCAGCGCTAATTGCCCTGCTATGTAGATTGGTATATAGGGTTTAATTGGGATTTCATGTGCATGGCTCTTGTACCAGTAAAGCCATTTAAATACTGTTTATTTATGTGAGAGTAAAGTCAGAGGAAAACTGCTTGTTCACGGTTTTGTTCCTYGGGGAGGTACAGCGAGGAAGGACGTAGTGTACAAGGTTGTCTCCTGTTTCACAGGTACTTCCACAGTTCCCTTCCACCTTCCCTTTATATTTCAGCAAAGGCTTGGTCACACCGTCCCTTATCTCCTGTATACAATTGCAAAAAACAGCAGGAATTAAATATGAATATWTTGGACACATTTACAGAAACACAGGAAAAGCGACTGTAATGCATATAGTTCATTCAATGTGCTCTGCATGTACTTTGCTAAACAATAGTATTCTTAAAGGTACTGTAAATGCTTTCTTAGAAGAGTATAAGATTGCTATCCTTATGCTTTTAATGGAACATTAGTGCTTTTACTTTAGAAGTAATAAAAATGATCTACTTGAAACAGCACAGAGATAGCAACATGGAAGAACTTTTTGAGATACTCAGTTATTCTGGAAGGGCTGTCTACAGAGATTCYTTTCTAGAAGAATAAGAATAGTCTACAATTAGCATCTGCACRCAAAATGCAAATCAAGAATAGCTGTCTTATTTTGTAATAGCTATTCTAGTCAAGTTCTTTCCATAGAAAAGCCTTTAAGGATTGTATGAAAGTGCAACAGGATTTCAAGACTTAGCTGCTTCTTAATAGCAGTAATTCAGAACCCAAAAGATTACACTAAATAGTCTGGATAATATTTTAGATAAATCTACAATTCATATGTAATTCTTTCACCCTTTAATGAGACTCTCTAGCACGACCAAAGCAGAGTGCTGAAGGCAATCTGCTTAACTTTACAGGTTACCTCTTTTACACATTTTTTTTACATATTTTTAACATTACAACATTACCTCCTGTATTACAGTATCATTGTGTTAAACAGTTTTATACAAAAAAAGCACTTTTTAACTTTTTTTGTTAATGATATGATGATATAAATACAGAAAAATAAAATATTTCATATATTTTATTTA